GGTGACCTCTCTCTCAAGCTGCCAGCCCTCAGGAACTGCGTGACTCTATTTTTAACCCTGGCAGCTGCCCAGGATGTGTGTGTGGGGTGGGTGGGAGAGCAAATTTTAAAGGGTTCAGACATGCTTTGGACAGGATGAGGATCCAGGGTTTGTGAGACTGCTGGTTTCTCTCCCTGGCTCTGAGAGGGGGGGGGGCTGGTGGGTCAGAGCAGTGGGCTGGGAGCCAGGACTCCTGGGTTCTCTACTTGGCTCTGAAAGAGGGTGGCTGCGCATGTGGGGAACAATTCCTGGGTCTGTATTGTTTGAAGCCTCCTCTTTTTCCTTGTCCTTTCAGCCATGTCCATCCAGAAGATCTATGCCCGAGAGATCCTGGACTCCCGTGGGAATCCCACGGTCGAGGTGGATCTGCACACAGCCAAGGGTGCGTGGGGGCCAGGGCTGGGTTGTGTGGTGGGGGTGGATGCATGGGGAGAGTCTGATGGGGCCAGGGTGGTTTATCCCAATGCTGGGATATGGGGGGATCCTGAAGCCAGATGGGGAAGCTGATGGGAATGAGGCTGTCCTGGGCTAGGTGGGGAACCCTATAGTAATTACTCCCCTTGTTTCCCCCAGGTCGTTTCCGAGCCGCCGTCCCCAGCGGCGCCTCCACTGGCATCTATGAGGCGCTGGAGCTGAGGGATGGAGACAAGTCCAGGTACCTGGGCAAAGGTAAGGGGCTGGCAAGTGGGGACACTGATGCTAACTGGGGAGGGGGAGACTTATTCCTCCATCCAGCCAAAGCCAGGGCAGGGTCAGCTCAAGGTGCCATCGCTTGCTGGATAAATGTCCAGAGGTGATAAAAGCCTCAAACCCATGTTTTTGGTAGGGTTGGCTGAGAGATTCCTTGGCTGGTTGATTGGTAGGAGTGGCTGACTGGCCGAGATGTTCAGTGGCTGGTTGGTTGCTAGGATCGGCTGGTTGGCCAAGACACTGACTGGCTGCGTGGTAGGGGTGCTGCTTGGCCGAGAGGTTCATTGGATGGTTGGGTGGCAGGGTTGGCTGATTGGTTTACTGGCGATGTTGAATGGCTGGTAGGGTTGACTGTTTCGTTCATTAGTTGACTGATTGAATTGGTTGATTGGTTTATTAGCTAGTTAAAGGTCCTGGATGGTGCATTCTTGGGTAGTTTGTTCATTAGAATTTAGTTAATTTTAAAAAATGTCCATCTCCTAAAATGAACTCCAAAGATGTCATGGCTTGTCCAAATGAAAATGGCCCAGGCAGCTGGCGGACAGGTGGGGAGCTCAGGGGCAGCTAGTGGGGAACAAGACACCCGCTGGGTACAAAATCTTTGTCCTTCTCCCCACAGGGGTGCTGAAGGCTGTTGAGCACATCAACAAAACCATTGCTCCAGCTCTCGTTGAGAAGGTAACAGCGCCCACTCGTGCCTGTTGGGGTGTTTATGAGGGGCGGGGCAGTACATGGGCATGGAGCAGTGCCTGGCTACAAGGGGAGGGCAGCACCGAAAGGTACCTGGAGGTGGATGGTGCCCAGCTGGTTTGGGGATACCTGGCTATGGCAGGAGGTTGGGAAGCGCAAGCCCAGCTATTAGGGACACCCAGGGGGAGATTAGCTGGGGGAGGGGAGAGATGAGTTGTGGGGGTCCCTGAGTGCAATCGTGTAGCTATGTATATGTGGGTACCTGGAAGAAAGGGTCAGTGTGAAGAGTCTTGGATGTGGGGGGCAGCTCCCCATGGTGCCTATGTGACCCCCTCCCCCATTTCATCCCCCTCAGAAACTCAGCGTTGTGGAGCAGGAGAAAATTGACAAAATCATGATCGACCTGGATGGGACGGAGAACAAATGTGAGCACGAGGCATTGCCATCGACCCTCTGCCAGTGCCCAATGCCCACTTGGGTCCCTCTCCTCCAGTCCCCTAAGCAAACCCATCCCTGCCCCTTCCCTCTGCAGCTCTCCCTGGTACCTGACTGTGTGGGAAGGGGCTAATCCTGTCTCTCTCCCCCACAGCCAAGTTTGGGGCCAATGCCATCCTGGGAGTGTCACTGGCGGTGTGCAAGGCTGGGGCTGCAGAAAAGGGAGTGCCCCTCTACCGACACATCGCCGACCTGGCTGGTAACGCAGAGCTCATCCTGCCTGTCCCGGTGAGAGCCCCAAACACCAGCTTCCTCTGGGAGGATAGTGGGACTCGTGGGTTAGAGCAGGGGAGTGGACAGCCAGGACGCATGGGTTATAACCTGTCCTTTCCCCGGCAGGCATTCAACGTCATCAACGGGGGCTCGCACGCAGGGAACAAGCTGGCAATGCAGGAGTTCATGATCCTGCCGGTGGGAGCAGCCACTTTCAAGGAGGCCATGCGTATCGGGGCGGAGGTCTATCACAACCTCAAGGCCGTCATCAAGGGCAAGTACGGCAAGGATGCCACCAACGTGGGAGACGAGGGCGGCTTCGCCCCCAACATCTTGGAGAACAATGAAGGTACCAGATGCCTGGGTTCTCTCCCTGCTCTTGGGAGGGGAGTGGGGGCTGGGAGTCAGGACTCCTGGGTTTTCTCTCACCCCATTCTTTGGCTGCAGATTGACAGGAAGGGGGTAGCAGCTACTTATAGATCTGGGGTTGAGTTTCAAGACTCTCTGAGGCTGGGTTATAGACTCAGCCCAGCTCCCTCAGCAAATGTCGCAGCCATAATTAGTGCAGCTGCTGGTAACTGGAGCTGTGGGGAGCATGGACCAGGAAAGGTCACAGCATGCTAGGGTCTGCTGCTCTGGGGCAGGGGGGGGCTAGTTACACAGGGACCCCTCATCTTGCACTGAGATGCAGCCACTTCTGGGGTGGGGCAACACACCTGTGTCTGTAGACTTCACTAGCTGTGTGTTCTCCTGACCCCAGCACTGGAGCTGTTGAAGTCGGCCATTGAGAAGGCCGGCTACCCTGACAAGGTGGTGATCGGCATGGACGTTGCCGCCTCCGAGTTCTACCGCAGCGGGAAATATGACCTGGACTTCAAATCCCCTGACGACCCCGGGCGCTACATTAGCGGAGAGAAGCTGGGAGAGCTCTACCAGAGCTTCATTAAGAACTACCCTGGTAAGGGGCCTGTCCTCTCTAGGAGGCACTTCCACCTGGCCCCAGGGCAGGGACTGGCTGGCTCAGGGGCGCAGAGACCTGTCCTCTCTAGGGGGCACCGGCTCCTACCTGGCCTCTGGGCAGGTACTAGATGGCTCAAGGGGGCAGGAAACGGGGAGGAACCTGTACACTCCAGGGGGTGCTGTATCTCACCCTGCCCCCCCCCCTCCAGTGGTCTCCATCGAGGATCCCTTCGACCAGGATGACTGGGAGACCTGGCAGAAGTTCCTGACTCAGGTGCCCATCCAGATTGTGGGCGACGACCTGACTGTGACCAACCCCAAACGCATTCAGAAAGCCGTGGAGCTGAAAGCCTGCAACTGCCTCCTGCTAAAAGTCAACCAGATTGGCTCCGTCACCGAGTCCATCCAGGCGTGAGCAGGCCTGGGGGTGGAGGCTCTGGGGGAGTGTGCTGGTTCTCTCCTTGGCTGTGGGAGTGGAGCGGGGGCATTGGGAGCCTGGACTCTGGGGTTCTCTCTCTGTGCGTAGCCAATAGCACGGCGCTCGGTGAGCTGCTGGACAGTCGCACTGGGGGACAGAAGGTTAGATCTGGATCCCCCCAGAGCTGGACTTACCTCTTTGCCTCCCCCCTGCCCCCATTCTCTTCCAGGTGCAAGCTGGCCCAGAGCAATGGCTGGGGCGTGATGGTGAGTCACCGCTCCGGGGAGACCGAAGACACCTTCATTGCAGACCTGGTGGTGGGGCTGTGCACTGGGCAGGTTAGCCACTGGGGCTACACTCCCCTTCCTTCCAGGTAACAGGCAGCCCCTAACCTCCATTCTGCCTGTCTCCCCAGATCAAGACTGGAGCTCCCTGCCGATCAGAGCGACTGGCAAAATACAACCAGCTGATGAGGTAATGGGCTTGGCTTGTCCCCTTTAGGGGGCACTCGCTCCCACCCAGCCCCAGGGTGGGAAATGCCTGGCTTGGGGGG